CATCGAGGATGTCTACTTCCAAGTTCATCACTGTCTCGATACTATAGATGTCTGCCTGACTTCTGAAGCGGGATATTATAAGTTATTAAAATATGTGCAATTCAAGAACAAAATAACCTAATACCACTCAACTTAACGCAATGATACGTTTTGGGTTGTAGTAGTTGTAGTAAGGTCGATCCCACGAGGAGTCGGAGTTTACAATGTTGGTTAGAGTGAAATTAAAATTTCTTATTACCTTAAACTACTCTAAACATAAAATAGAGGTAATAAATAAAAATAGTTAAAGTTTTCAAAAGTCTTACAAGAAAATTCTACTAGAATACTAAGATAAACTAAACAAATAAGCAAAATATGGAGCCTAAATTATAAATGAAAATTGATAGAAAACAATTAACACTACAATTGACAAGTTGGAAGTAACTCCTAAGATATGATTAGGCATACAATTTTGTTTAGGCATTTTAGCGAACACCTAGCATGCATTCCTTAAAAACTTAGGTCTCATTAACATTTGTATCTACCCTAACCCTCCAATTAACAAACTGGAGCCATGCAACCACAAAGTCATCAAAATAATCAAGTATGTATGCACATAACACAAACAAAGACTAATCTATGAAATTGGAAGAAGTTGCCTAAGTTCTAGTGGAGAAGGGAAAGAGAAAATTACCTTGGCCCCATGATTTTCATTTAGGAACAAAGAAAGATTGAAATGTGTTATAGTGAATGGATTGTGTGTGAAAGAGTGAGTGAAACAAGTTTGTGGGAAGTGCACATTGAGCGGAGTGGAATTAACCAAGTAGAGAGAAAAGTGAAGACTCTAAAGTTTTTATTTGCACATGTGTCTTTTTTATTTTTTATTTTTTATTTTTATTTTTTACTTCCTCTACTATCATCATTTAAAATACATGAATAATCCCCCCTAAACTAATAGCAAGCTCAAATGCACACAAAACCTATGCAAAATACTACAAACCTATAATTTAAAATATCATAAATATAAATCAAAAATTAAAGCAAAAGGATACTCAAAAGGATTTTAATTTGGTTGGGTTGCCTCCCAACAAGTGCCTTGGTTTAATGTCACCGGCTCGACGGGGTGCTTGAGATTTAAGATTGAGGTTCCACAAGAGCAAGAGAGATCTTCTTCTCTTTCTCGTTATCTACACCATCACCCAAGTAAGCTTTCATCGATGACCATTGACTTTAAAGATATTCCCGGTTTCCATGTTCTTTCTCAATGGCACCAAATGGAAAAACTTTTTCCACAATAAAAGGCCCGGGCCATCGAGATTTCAACTTTCCCTGAAAGAGTTTAAGCCGAGAATTGAATAGCAATACCTTTTGGTCGAATGCCTTTATCATGAACTCTCTTAGTCCTCTCTTTGTAGATCTTGGCATTGTGGTAGGCCTCTAGCCGAAATTCATCAATTTCATTAAGATCCAACAACCTCTTCTCGGCCGAAGATCCATAATCGAGATTGAGTTGTTGCAAGGCCCAAAAAGCTTTATGTTCCAATTACAAAGGCAAGTGACAAGCTTTCCCAAAAACCAATTGAAATGGAGAAGTACCAATGGGAGTCTTGAAGGCGGTTTGGTAGGCCCATAAAGCATCATCTAACTTCCGAGACCAATCTTTCCTTAAGGATTAACAACCTTCTCCAAAATTCTCTTTATTTCCTGGTTAGAGATCTCCACTTGGCCACTTGTTTGAGGGTGGTAAGGGGTTGCAATCTTGTGCCTAACTCCATATTTTGCTAAAAGAGCATCGAAGATCTTGTTGCAAAAGTGAGATCCCCCATCACTAATAATAGCTTTTGGAGTCCCAAAGCTTGTGAAAATGTTCTTCTTAACAAAATTCACCACAACTTTGCTATCATTGGATGGTAGTGCTACCGCCTCAACCCATTTGGAGACATAATCAACCGCCACTAAAATGTATGTGTTCCCAAAAGATGAGGGAAAGGGACCCATAAAATCAATACCCCATACGTCAAAAAGTTCTACCTCTTGGATGTTGTTCATAGGCATTTCATTGCGCCAAGAGATGTTACCGGCCCTTTGACAACTATCACACTTTTTCACCCATTCCTTAGCATCCTTGAAGAGAGTGGGCCAATAGAAACCCGATTGAAGAACTTTGAAAGCCGTCTTTCTCCCACCATAAGGGGATTCGTGACAACCCACTAAGATTAGAGGTTGCTCAATCTCAGGAACACATCTTCTAAGCAAGTTTTCATTGCAAAATCTAAACAAGGTTCCTCCCAAATATAGAACTTGGCATCATGAAGAAATTTATTCTTTTGTTGAGAGGACAAGTCACTTGGCACTTCATTTGTCACAAGATAGTTGGCCAAATCCGAATACCATGGCAAAGAATAGATTGCCTTAATGGCAAAGAGTTGCTCATCCGGAAAGGTCTCTTTAATGAGCAATTGAAAGTCATCTTCATTGTGAACTTCCCCTTCCAACCTTGAGAGATGGTCGGCCACTTGATTCTCCGTTCCTTTCCTATCTTTGATCTTCACATCAAACTCTTGAAGAAGAAGAACCCACCTTATGAGCCTCGGTTTTGCATCTTTCTTGTTCATCAAGTACTTGAGAGCGGCATGATCGGTATGAACAATCACCTTAGCACCCAAGAGACAGGCCCTAAACTTATCAAAGGCAAATACTACCGCAAGCATTTGTTTCTCCGTGTGGAGTAGTTGATTTAAGCATCATTAAGAACCTTTCTAGCATAGTAGATGGCATGAAAGATTTTGTTCCTTCTTTGACCAAGAACCGCTCCCATGGCAAAGTCACTAGCATCACACATAACTTCAAAGGGGGAACTCCAATCGGGTGTTACCATAATGGGAGAGCTAACCAATTTATCTTTAAGTAACTTAAAAGCAACCAAGCAATCATCATTGAAGTTAAATGGTACCTCTTTCTCAAGCAAGTTGCATAAGGGTTTGGCCACCTTTGAGAAATCTTTGATAAAGCGACGATAGAAACCGGGATGACCCAAGAAACTTCTTATACCCTTGGGATTCGAGGGAGGTGGCAGTCTAGAGATCACATCAATCTTGGCCTTGTCAACTTCAATACCCCTAGAAGAGATTTTATGGCCCAAAACAATACCCTCTTGCACCATGAATTGACATTTTTCCCAATTGAGCACTAAGTTAGATTCTTCACATCTTTGAAGTACCCTATCCAAATTTCCCAAACAATGCTCAAAAAAAATCCCAAAAACCGAGAAGTCATCCATAAACACCTCAATTACATCCTCCACCATGTCATTAAAAATGGCCATCATGCATCGTTGAAATGTTGCCGGCGCATTACACAATCCAAATGGCATTCTCCTAAAGGTTGAGGTGCCAAAAGGACATGTGAATAGCCCTGGCCTCCAGGGCTATGGCAATTTGATTATAACCCGAATAGCCATCCAAAAAGCAATAAAAGAGGTATCCGGCTATACGATCAAGAAGTTGATCCAAAAATGGAAGGGGAAAATGATCCTTTCGAGTGGCCTTATTCAATTTTCGGTAATCCATGCATACCCTCCAAGCATTCACTATCCTTGTAGCAATTAACTCATGCTCTTCATTCATCACAATGGTAATACCCTCTTTCTTTGGCGCATGTTGCACCGGGCTCACCCATTCACTATCCGAAATGGGAAAAATCATGCCAAAATCTAACAACTTGATGACTTCCTTCTTCACAACTTCCATCATCATGCGATTTAACCTTCTTTGTCTATCTCTCACCGGTTTGGCATCATCCTCCAAAACAATATTATGCATACAAATAGAGGGACTAATACCCTTAATGTCGGAAATGGTCCAACCAATAGCTTCCTTATGCTTCCTCAATACCTCCAAAAGTTCATCTTCTTGCCAAGACTCGAGTAGAGATGAGATAACCACGGGCAAAGTGTTGTCATCACCCAAAAAAGCATATTTCAAATTTGATGGCAAAGGTTTCAACTCAAGTTTAGGTGGAGCTAATATAGAGGGTCTCAACTTTTCATTCCTACATGACAACTTCACCACTTGACAAGTGTCAATGGTCTCAACAAACCCATTAGTAATTTCAAAAATAGACTCATCAATGTAACAACATTCAACAATATTTTCAAGTTCATGAGCAATTGATAAATCTACTTCATCAAGACCATCCAAAGGAGTAACACATAAAGATTTCACATCTAGCACACTACCATCAAAGGAAGAATTAAAACATGACTTTTCAATAACGCATTTATCTAAAACATCAACAAAGAAACAAGACTTTGCATCTTTTGGATATTTTATGGCATTAGCAACATTAAAAGTTACCTCTTCACCATTTCCTTTGAAAGTAACGATGTTGTGCTTCACTCCAAGGTTGACATCACCGGTTGCCAAGAAAGGTCTCCCAAATAGAATAGGAATCTCCTTATCGTCATCCATGTCGTGCACAATAAAGTCCACCGGAAGAATGAATTTGTCAACCTTCACCAAAACATCTTCAATGATACCCATTGGCTTAAGCATAGAATGATCCGCCAATTGTAGAGTAATGTTGATGGGCTCCATTCTATTCTCAAGCCCTATTGATTTAGCCGTAGCAAGTGACATGAGACTTATGCCGGATCCTTGATCTACCAAAGCCTTGGAGAAATGCCTCGAACCAATGTCACATGGGATAGTGCAACAACTGGGATCTCTCATCTTCATGGGAATGCAACCTCTAATGAGATGACTACAATTTACACTTAAGGACACAATTCCTTCTTCTTGAATTTTCTCCTTGTTAGCCACAAGATCCTTTATGAACTTAGTATACTTAGGAATTTTGGTAATCAAGTCCACCAAGGAAATATTTACATCCATCTTACGAATCATTTCCAAGAATCTCTCAAAATTCTTACCTTGAGTGCCCTTTGGTCAGGCCCTTGTAGGAAAGGGAGGTGGTGGGACATGCTCCGGAAAATTGAAGGGACTAGAAGGTCCCTTTTTCACCTTCTTGGGCTCTTGGTTCCTTTCAACATCTTTGCCTTCCTTAGAGATGCCAACTTGCTCATCAACCAAAACCATATCATCCAATTCATTGAAAGGGAGCTCTACTTCTCCATCCATGTCATCCCCACTTACATTCTCTGGAGGTCACACTTGCTTTCCACTCCTTAAGGTAACCATCTTGCATTATTCTTTCCCCTTTGGATTAGGAGTAGTATCACTTGGGAGAGACCCTTGAGGTCTAGAATGAATGGATTGAGCAAGTTGTCCCAATTGAACCTCAAGGTTCCTCATAGTGGCATCAATATGTTCAATGACACCTTCCAACTTTACAATCTTCCATGTGGTCTCCTCTTGAAATTGCCGATACTCTTTGTCTCTATCATCCAACTTAACCATCAATTTCAACACGGTCTCTTCCAAGGATGATCTCTTTTCTTCATGTATTGGCTCACCAAATCCCGGTGGAGGGTTAGGCCTCCATTGATTGTTAGGATTTGAAGAAATTCCTTGAGAATAGCCACCTTGATTACCATCTCTCCATCCACCTCCTTGGCCTCTCCAATTCCCACTTTGGTTGAAGTTGGGGCGAGGATTAAAATTGTTGATGTAGTTGACCGATTCCTTAAGCAAATGGCATTGATCGGTATGATTTTCCCCTTGACAAACTCCACAACTCGTAACCGGTTTGTTACCCATAGAGAGTTGGGTGATGGTTTTAGCAATACTAGCAAGTGGAGCCTCAAGATTGGTGAATCGATCCACCTCTAAAGTGCCTACACCAATGGCCGGTTTCTTTTGTGGTAACCTTCTCTCATTAGGCAATGAATATTTATTGCTTGCCACTTTCTTAAAGAGCTCTTGAACTTCTTCCATGGACTTATCTCTCAAGGAGCCACCGGCACTTGCATTAACCATACACATGGATTCATTCATGAGTCCCTTGTAGAAAACTTCCAAATCTCGGCCACCTTCCAACCCATGATTGGGACATTTTCTCAAAAGTTCTTTAAACCTATCCCATGCCTCTGAGAATGCTTCACCATCATATTGTTGAAATTGAAGAACATCCATACGGTGTTTCTCCATTTTTTATGGAGTGTAGTACTTAAGCAAAAACATTTTTCTCATTTCTTCAAAACTCCTAATGCTGTAACCCGAGATGGAATCAAACGAAGATTGAGCATGTCCCCTTAAAGAGAATGGAAATAAGATGCTCCTTATCAAGTCTTGTGATACCGCGTGAGGTTGGTGGGTATTGCTCAAGGCGAGGAATGTATTGATGTGAGCATTAGGGTCCTCATGTTCATAACCTTGGAAAATGGCCCCATTTTGAATGAGATTAATGAGTTGTGGAGGAATTTGATAACTCTCACCTTCTACACCCCCAAATCCTTGCACATTATCAAATCTTCGCTCAAATAAATCCCCAAATACTCTAGGCCTTGGTGGTAGTCTTTGGGCACCTTGGTCATGGTTCCCACCTTGGTCTGCCATAAGATGAGTTTTAACCTCTCTTCTTGTTCTTCTAATTTGTGTCACAAGTCTCTCCAATTCAAGATGCAACCCAACTTGAGGTGGGCCTTGAGAATGAGCTCACATGCACCAAACAATACCATGAAAACTAAAGAGATACCTAAAGATAACAAAACCTACACAAGAACAATAAACAAATCTAAACTAGAACAAAAGAAGATTAGTAAAACAAAACTAAATAACTAAGAACATAATCACACTTAGACAACCAACAAGCAAACCGTGCTGGACTCCCCGACAACGGCGCCAAACTTGAAGAAGGATATTATAAGTTATTAAAATATGTGCAATTCAAGAACAAAATAACCTAATACCTCTCAACTTAATGCAAGGATACATTTTGGGTTGTTGTAGTGGTAGTAGGGTCGATCCCACGAGGAGTCGGAGTTTACAATGTTGGTTAAAGTGAAATTGAAATTTCTTATTACTTTAAACTATTCTAAACATAAAATAGAGGTAATATATAAAAATAGTTAATGTTTTCAAAAGTCTTACAAGAAAATTCTACTAGAATACTAAGATAAACTAAACAAATAAGCGAAATATGGAGCCTAAATTATATATAAAAATTGATAGAAAACAATTAACACTACAATTGACAAGTTGGAAGTAACTCCTAAGATATGATTAGGGTGGTTTTAACTTCTTCAATCCATGCCAATTAATGTTAAGGTTATGCTAATTAAGGAATGATGTTTATTTTTCACTCTAGGTTCCATTCCTAGTTCCTAGAATTGTACGACTAACCCCCTATGCCTAGGCGACTTAGCCAATTTAACTAACCCAATTAACATTCTTTATTCACTCTTTCAACCTATTTATGCCTAAATGAGATTTAATAGAGTTCCATTTACAAACTCATGCTCACTTGAAGATAAAGAGTCATTCAAGAGAGTCTAATAACACACCATTTAAATGATCAAATCAAATGACATGCATCTCCTATACCAACCTTGTTAATGGACTTAATAAACACAACCCATAACAATAATCTACGTGGATATTGGAAATCTAAAACACCCATCCTCTATCTTAGGAGTTGAAGAAGATTTAGCTACTCATTACAAAGGAAAAACCATTCAAGATTAATAATAAACAAGACATGAGAATTGGATAAAGAGGAGAGATGTTACCACTTTCTTTCAAGGTGGAGAATCACCAGAATCCAACAAAAACACAAATTTCATGTCCATCCATACCTAATCTTGAATTCTTGCTCCAAAATAGTGTACAAAATGAACAAAACTAATCTATTTTGATGCTAAGGTAAGAGAATCCTAGAACACTAAGCTTAGAGTGAGTTTGGAGAGTCAAAATTCCCAAATCCGTTTGCAAAATATCAATTTATAGCCATTGACATCGTGGGGACCAAAGTGGTTAAGTGGGAAAATTTAAGGACTGAATAGCATTATATGTGTGGGCTTATTCGACATTTTCGAAACTTGAGGACCACAATTTGTGCAGCTTTTCCTTTGAAGCAAACAAAGGCCCTCCGATGCAAATCCGCTGGGAAGGGATTGTTAAGTTTGCAATTGTTTGAAAATTCTTTCTCCTTCCCCGTTTGAAGTCAACGGCCACCGGAATCCCCTCACCGGTTTGCTGATCGGAGCTCCGTCGTTTATTCATGAAAATGGACAAAACTTATACCAAAATTCTTCCCAGGATCTCCTCTGTAACTACCATGGAATCGTTCGGGCTATAATTTGTGTTTCCAGATCGAATTCAAGGAGCGATAGTGCTGCATCCAAAGTGCTTGTTGAAATTTCCTCATTTCCAGTCTAAGTAAGCAATTTCTTTGCCATTTTTCTCCAGAATAGAGTCTGAACTTGGAACTTCTTTCTTCACAAAAGTTGTAGATATTTCTTATAGCTTCAAAATGATATCTTGAACACTGAAATTAGAGTTGTGTATCGAGAGTTATGACCTCTAACAGGTAGATAAGGTTTCCAGAACATCTGCATCTTTCCTGAGCAGAATTGGTGACTGAACTTCTGCAGCATTTTTGACCATTGCATCATCTGAAATGGGAGAAGTGGTCTTCATGACATCTGTAGCTCTCTCTTTCTGATTTGTAAGGGTATAAAGAACTTTCAAATCCGAGCTGGGGACATCGAGTTATGCTCTCTACAATTTGACAAATTGTTGCTAAACTTCGGCAAATTTCAGAGTTCAGTTATGACAGCTGAGATTTCAACTGCAGTTTTGATCATTAAAAAGCCTAAATTTGAAGAAGCGTTCTGTATAAAATTTGTAGTTCCCACTTTGAGCTTCGTAGGCGTATTTGGTTAGTTCCAAATGGAGGCGTCTAGCTCAAGTTATAAGCCCTTCAGGGTGGACCATTCACCGTTGATCAACACTCCGTGAATTTTTTGTCTTTTGATTGATATTTTTTCTCCATTTCCGGACAATTTTGCATGGATCATTTGTTCTACAATGGAAGACCACAAAACATAAGATATGTGCATTTTCACATGTTAACACCATACAATGAGTCTATATTTAAATAAAAGAGGTATGAAATCACATATATATTTGATTCACATCAACTTCTCATGATATTGCTGATTATCGAGTATAAAGGGTAATCCCTCGATTGTTCTTCAAATAGAACCATAAGGTGGATTCGGTGGACAGGCCAACTGTCATGTTTTAAAGAAAAAGTGCAAGGCTAAAAACAAATCATGAGAGGAAATACGAACATCCATTATGACAAAAGAAATAGGAGCTGCTTAAAAGGGACCATTGCTTAAACTGGTTCGTACAAGAAAAGCTATTACAAGGCAGAGAGTCATATATCTTCATGGGAATGAGGAGTGCTTCCGGTAGCTCCACCAGTGTTCCCCTTGACGGGAGGCTCATTGTCTTTGGCGCCAGAGTTGCCTGCATCTTCTTCCTCTGAGACCAAATCATCCCCGTCCTCGAGCTTGATGCCAATATACTTGTCAGAAACTTCAGGGATTGATATCTCCTCACCAGGCCCTCGAGCTAAGATAGTGGGAGTATCACCTGGAAATGTACCAACATCCCCGGGAACGCTCAGCTTGGCCAAAGCCCCACAGAGAGACTCCCAACAGAGGTAGTTACTCGATACTTAGCTTAGTAAGAGCCTTCACCAGTGCTTCATGCATGGTTTTCTTGAGGCTCTCCTTCAGGAACTGCTTGAACCACTTGGCCTTAACGGGTTTCTCGCTTTTAAGCCTCTTAAGACCGGCAACGGCAACTGCATGACCTCCATACTCTGTCGCAGCCATGTTCATTTCCTCGATGACTGCCGCCATTCCACCTGTGGATAGCATCCTGAACCAAGAAGCAGCACACCACTTGTGAAGGTCTTCCTTTGAGATGTTCAAGTTACCATACTCCTTGAGCTTTTCATCCAGCTCATTGTACTTAGCCTGCACAGAGGCTAACTCTTGCTCCTTGGCCTCCACTTGCTGAGCCTTCTCCTCGAGAGCAACCTTCTTGATCAGCTTGGTCCCTCTCAACTCGAGCCTAAACCAGTTCTAACCTCAGCTTCCTGGAATGCATCAAGTAGGCCATCGAAACCATGCTCATCTGCAAGAATTACTGGCTGAGGCGAATTTTCGTCTGTTAAAGTCTTACAAGAGTGTTCACCAATTAAAGGGAAGATCTTACCAGCCTCACACAATCGGTTTCTGTTAGTTGTGCTGCAAATTCTTCCAGCAAGGAGCATTCAATGGTTGGAGGGTTGCCAAACATATGGACTGCTATAGTTGGTCCTCCCTGGAATATATGAGAAGGCAGAATGATTGCTTCTTCCTTGAGAGGAACCTTACCTTTGTCCGTGGCGGAAGTTTTGTTGCTTGGCTCATGGCCCATTGGTGGAATGGTGGTTTTCTCGGTCGCTAGAGGAACAACCTTCTCTCCTCCAACTGCTAACTCTGTTGCATGGACGTCAGCCTTCCCTTTCTTCCTTTGCTCCTTTTCAGAGCCCTTCACGATTCTCTTCTTTTTCTTCTTTCCAGCAATTGTTGTGGTCGACGTCTCTTCATCTGAATTTACAACATGAAAGAGCTCTTTGTCGCCATAAAATCGAGAACCAGCATTGCTCGATGACATGACCTAAGAACAAAAGAAGCAATAAAAAGAGATTAGTACCTTTTTCCTCCTCGACAAGAAGATTAGTATCTTTTTCTTCCTCGACGGGGGCAGGGGGGAATGTAGGACTGCACGCTACTCCACGTAATCAGTTTTGGGTAGTTCAAAATTTTCTTCAAGTCATCGTCCAACTCCTCGATGCTCTCGTCATCCTTCTTCAAGTCATCGTCCATTCATCCTTTATCACGCCAAGACCTTCTGCTTCTCGATGGTCCCAAGCTATACAATAATTCTCAGGGGCCTTCACAAACAGGTAGTCAGGCTTCCACTCGGGCAAGCCGCCATATGTCTCGACCATCTTCTTAATATTTGATCTAGGATGTCTTTTAACAATATACCAATCTTAGAACGATGTCGAGGGAACCACAACTTGGAACAAATACCTCCACAGAATCAGTTGGGGTTTCACCTTCACTTTTTCGCATATTCTCGCGAATGCGAGAACGAACTTTCTCAGGTTTGGTGTAAAACGAGCGAGAGGGGTTTTGTAATGTTGAACAATCTCCTTGAATAGAGGGAAGAGGAGGAACCTTAGTCCTAGATACATAAAGCGGTCATATACGCCAATTCTTCACTCAGGAGGAGAACTGGCCCTCTCGTTACCTACAGGGGCTCTGACAAGCCGTCGTCACAACTAGTCAAATAAATTCACCTACTTAACACTAGTACCCACAGAGAATGAATACTAATTACCAGGTATAAATTACTCCTATTATTATCTAGATAAATGATGATCTCAGATTTTCAATTAAAATAAAACTAAAGCTAAAATCTAAAATATGCAATTACTTTCAAAGGTTGAAACAATCAAGTTGAGAAAAACCTAGGACATCGGGTTCACCTACCGAATATTTGATTTGGTTCAATTCATAAGTATTTGACTTTTAACTTCCATTAGTCTCACAACGATTCACCTAATTAAGAATTATACACTCTCGTGACTATAGGATTAACAAAAGCACATTAAGACCATTAAGAATCAAACATTGCAAAGGTTATAATCTTACTCTCGTAGCTTACACCCTAAGTCTATTATTTCTACGAACTAATACTAATCTTCCACTCTTGCTATTTCGATTAGTATCTTCAGACATGCAAATAGTGGCCAATTACTTACACGGATTAAAACAAGAATAACAGATATTAATTAATGGAAAAGTCAAATAATAATGAATCAAATAAACCAAATAAATTCGGTGGCTACATCCAGGCCCTAGGTTAAAGGAATTTAGCCACTAAAAATTATAAAAAATAATTCAATAATATTGAGCATCATCATCTAAAAGGTCTGAAATTTAATAAACAAAACAAAAACAATAAAACCCGGAAGAAGAACAATGCCGCCGAAAACTAATCGCGAAGGATAAATCCCAAACTTTGCTCTTTTCCACGTGTACTGCTCTTGATGCGTGGCTTCCTTGATGGATGATGATGATGGCGTGATGAGGTGCTGATGGATGATGGAGGCGTGAGGTTGTTTGGTGCGTGGAGAGGTGATGGGGAGTTGATGATGATGATTAAGGTGATGATGATGGGATGAGATGGTGCTGCGGGCTGGTGTGCGTGGAGATGGGGTGCTGGAGCGGCAGTGGAGTTGGGATGATGATGATTAAGGTGGTTAAGTCTCTGTCTTTATAGGCTTTTCTCAAATCCTACTTCTTCGGAAATAAGAAATTTTTTTTTTTCAAACCAATTTAAATTAAAACTCCTCCAACTCTTTAAGTGCTTCAATTTCTTCCTTGTCAATTTAACAAATCTTCGATTCTCCCTTTAAGTTGTTTTTTTTTTCAATTTAGTCCAAAACCTCAACAATTCTTCCATTTGAGTACAAAACCTACAAATAAAGATAAAATCATATAAATATCATATTTTTACTCAAAATATATTACAAAAATTATAAATTAGGGATATAATAAATAGGTAAAATATAAGCATATCAGGCTCTCGTATCTAACTCTATAGGAAGGTCATATCTCATTCTGACTGCCTAAATCCTATCATCGGAATTAATGGTAGAAACGAAACTTGGACGGTTTTTAGACCTGAGTTTCTAGTATCCATACCTACCACAATTTGAAAAGTCGAATCTAGATCTATACTAGCAAGCGCTAAGTGAAATAATCAGATAGGGAAGGGATCTGAGTACTTACTGTTGTGATGGGTCTCCACTCTCCCTTGGAGTTGTAGCCACCCAGTTTCCCTTCAATCTTGTTGCCAGAAAGTCCTCTGGTGGAGATGTTGCTGGGGCAAGACGATAGAAAAGCTTGCAAGAATTTATGCAGCAGCGGCTGGGGCACTTTGTTAGAAGAAGGAGTGCTAGTGCTTTAGAGAATAAGAACAGAGAGAAGTGATACAGAGTTTCTGTCTCTCGGATATATAAGGCAAAATTGATATCCCCCCACGTCTTTGCTATTACAGCATTATCGATGCAATTATGATGATGTTGGCCGCCGTTTGGGGAACGTGCCCACTTACTGCGCGCGGTTAAACAGTTTAGGCGGGATTCCCCCTCGGGTTGTCTTCTCGGGTTCCCGTATTGAATCCTGACCCGCGGACCGTCTCCTCAGGCCTGCTCGATGCAACTTGGGCCGAGTCCAGGTTAGACTTATTTTTTGTCAAGTCTTGTTTATTTTATATAACTAACACTTGACAGGGGAACTTGACGAGTCTATATCCACCGAGGATTATTAGACCGGCCCATCCGCTAATTATGGTCCAACAGACATTACAGAGGTCGTTCTAGAACATGAGACCTAATAGAATTCGGCACCCTTCAAGGTAATTCCATATCTATAAATATGGTTGATCACACCACAATACGGGTACGCTATCTCTAGCACTCAATACAACTCATATACGTTCCCTGAACCCTTTTTACTGACTTAAGAATCGGAGTGTCTATCCTCGGGAGACTCTCGAGGCCCTCTTTTACAGCAAACCCTAGTCGGAGTTCCACTATCAAGCCGGTAGTATAATTCCAAGCTTCGTCATGGACCAATCTCTCTCGGGCTCCATAGATGATGGTCAGATTCTAATCTAGGTATGTAAAAAGGCGGCAGAAAGTTTATTTTGAGGTACTAGATGGTATGAACTGATGGTACCGCTAGATGGTTTTCTTTTTTGTCCGGAGTAAAGGCGATATTATACGAATAAGGTTACTGGAAGAGACCGAGACCAAGGGTTTATCCACCTTTAGCCCTTTTTTGGAACCAGAGCTCTGAGGTTGTAGGTCGGTGCCAAAAAAAAAAAAAAGGGATAAGGACAATTAACCCTCTGAGTTTTGTCCCAAACCCTAAACCCTTGAGTTTTGTGAATGGACAATTACTCCCCTGAGTTATGTGCATAAGACCATTACAACTCTTTTGACATGCAAAAAGACTATAATACCCTCAAATACGTGTGGGGCCCATTTTTCTTCTAGTTTTTTGCTTTTTTAAAATTTTTTTCTACTTTATTTATTTTAATTATTTCTAGTCCAATTTTCCTTTCCTTTTTTAATTTTTTGCTACTTTATTAGTTTAATTATTTTTAATCAATTTTTATTTCTTTTTTAAAAAACTTTTTCTACTTTATTTAGTTTAATTATTTTTAGTTCAAATTTTTCTTTATTTTTAAAATTTTTTTATTTTATATTTTCATCCAAAAATAAATAGAAAATTTATTTGATTTTGCCTAAATTTATTCCAAATTTGTAAAATCATATTTCATGCTACTATTGCCTAAATTTTTATTATCAATTAATTGACTTCTGATGAGAGATATTCAGAGTATAAATAAAAATAGAAAAAAAACAATAACATGAAATATCGATTTATAAACCCGGAATAAATTTAGGCAAAATAAAATATATTTTCTATTTATTTTTGGATTGAAAGATAATATAAAAAATTTAAAAAAAAAGAAAGAAAAACTGGAATAAAAATAATTAAACTAAATAAATTAGAAAAAACTTTTTTTAAAAAAATTAAAACTGGACTAAAAATAATTAAACTATATAATGTAGGAAAATAATTAAAAAACAAAAAATTGGGAAAAAGAAATTGGGCCCCAGGCATATTGAGGGCATTATAGTCTTTTTACTTATCAAAGGAGGTGTAATGCTCTTATGGACATAAGTCAGGGGGTAATTGTCCTTTCATAAAACTCATGGGGTTTTAAGGATTGGGACAAAACTCAGAGGGTAATTGTCCTTATCTAAAAAAAAAAATGTCATCATGTTACCTTTTTTCATAGGTAACGAAGTTGGGGTGAACCTGGTAGGTTAGTAAAATTTGCAAGATTTAAATAAAAATATACAACAAAACTATTTAATTTTGATTCCTAATGAATATTGCAATTTTTTATAAATGCAGGGTTACATGATAGGAAATGGAGTTTGCGACGATTACTATGACGGATATAATGCCTTTGTTCTGTTTGCTCATGGCATGACCGAATCACACAAGCGCGATAGCAACTTCATTTGTTGTCAGTCAAAATCATATTTCTTCCTTTTCATGGAAAAAAAATTCACTTATTTATTTTATTGATTAATGGCATAAGTTGCCAACATAAATTCGAGTGGTGAAATAATACATCGTAGAATGATGAAGTGGCAACTAGATATCTGAACGATAAAGAGGCTAAAAATGCCCTTCACGTTAATCCAATTAACAATTATTGCAACTACAAGTTTGGTGGAATAATTTCTTTTATGGTTTTACAAATCTTGGTTAAATAGAAGGCAGAAGAATAGGTTATATGCAATGATTTTTTAAACATATTACCATGATGCTGGAAGCATGATCCCTTACCACAAAGACTTGATTGCTAAGAGATATCGTGTGCTCATTTACAGGTAATATTAGATCCACAATTGTAACTTCTTTTTCTAGAACGGAGAGATTGTATTTCGAGAATTCTCTAATTTAGTTTGTGTCACCTGATATACTAGAAACTAAGAATTGAAACTGATTGATTTT